TTCTGGTGTGCCCTCGCTTCTGAGGGCGCGGTGGAGGGGTCATGGGGGGGGGCGTGAGAAGCCGCCCTGAGTCGCCCCCAAATCCCTCGTGCCCTCCCGCCGCCCATTGGCCGCCGGTTCCGTGCCGGTTTACTCACTTCCTGGACTACAACTCCCGAAGTACCGCGGGGCCCCATGGAACGCCTTTAGAGCCGGGACTGCGTTTCCCGTCATGCCCCGTGGTCCCTGAGAGCCCGTCAGAGCCACGACTGTCCCCCAAGTACCGTCCCAGCTGCTCCGCAAGTGCTTGTCTGAACCGTAAGTGCACTCTGGGACCCCTTAAGTACCCCCAGTTTCCCTCTCCTGACCCTCAAGTGCCTCTCAGGATCCCTCAATCCGCCCGCCCTACGTGGCCCCAAAGCGCCTGCTGTGTGTCCCCTCACACCCCCAAGTGCTCTCCAGCTGCCTCCACGACCCCTAAGTGCCCCTCCAGACCCTTCAGTGATCCCGCTAGCATCCCCCAACTGCCTCCTAAGCGCCCCTCAAGTGTCCGCTGGGAATTGGCGTGATGACGACGACGTAGGGAAAGACCCCGACCGTACTGCAGAATCAGCAACAGTTCAGCCTTTAATTGAAACTTGAATCAAAACTGCAATTGCCGATGTGGGTGATGGAGAAGCCCCCATCCCACTTCGTGCTGCTCCATGGTCCCTCTTAGAGCCAGGGAAATTGCAGGAAAAATATTCCTGCATGTTGTGCACATCAGAAATTTCTTGGGGATCGGGAACAGAGTCTGTGTGGTGAGTGTTATAAATGAAATTAGAATTTTGACAATTAGGTCCCTTGAATTAATAACAGTTTAATTAACAATTAATACAATTTAGTAAATTGAATAGTAATTTGGTATAAAAGAATAATACAGTTTAGTAAAAGAATACAATTTAGTAAAAATTACAATTTCTATATGTAATTTGCCAGTAATTAAGTATGATTAAAGCATAAGCAAAACCAACCGGGGTGTGGGGAGGGCTTGTTGCCCCAGCTCACGTACAAAACAGATCGGGGTATGGAGGGGGTTCCCCACCCTGCCTCACGTAGAAAGCAAAGCACTTCAAGCTAAACTTGTATACTGTATGCTTATACATATTCATTAATGTTTGCCATAAGTTTCCTCCTATTTCTGATTTTTCTGACTTTACGTCACTATTCTTCACGGCACACGCTCCACTTGTTGTTAGGGGGTCTTCAGTCTTCTTTTGCGGTCTTTTGGCAAAGGCTTCTCCTCTTCCTCGTTGTCCTTTGGATAACCTTACAGGTTTGTGTGTGCGTACTAAGCGTTGTGTTATGTGAGTCTACTCATTAGTCTGATATTTACTGATTTTTAGGCCAAATGCCTAAAGTCTTTCTAATTTTGTCCATCTCAAGGCCATTTTCATCTTGGGACATCACTTATCTTCCAAACTACATCCTGTACCTCGATTTTTAACGTGTAACATCAGTAAAGGGGTGCATCTGCATTGTAACACTGATTCTTTTGGTTGCTTATAATAATAACTTTCCAAATAGTTACAATTTAGTTAGCAGGAATCAATTCCATTTATTACATGAGCTTCCCTGAGAGGAGGAGATCAAATCCTGCCAGGTAAAGAAGAGGTTGAGATGACTTTGGGGACCTAGGGTATACACTCCTATACCCACCCACCCCCCCCCAAAAAAAACCACAACCCTAGAGACCCTCTCCATCCCCTACAGCCTCCCCATTAGATCCCAAAGACCCTTAGAGTCCCCTCAAAACGCTCCCTAGCCCCCCGCTCCCCTGAACACCTTATAAATCCTCAGGACCCTCCCAAACCTCCCTCTAAAACCTCCTGAGGCCCTTTGAAATAACCCATAGGTCTGCCCAAATCCCCAGCACTCCCATGCACCCTGCAAAAGGGCTACCCCATGTGGCTCCGCTAGTCATGGATTGCCTGAGCCACTTTTTGGGCTGATATGTATGTAGGTATAAATCTAATAGAGATATAAAATATAAGATAGAAAGGGGCCTCTGGGAGAGCTGGGGAGGGTCTTTGTTAGGGGATAGAATAGAGAGTGAGGGTTTTCACCTGCCAGAGGGCAGGGTTAGATTGGATATTGGGAAGAAATTCCTCCCTGTGAGAGTGGTGAGACCCTGGCACAGGTTGTCCAGAGAAGCTGCAGCTGTTCCATCCCTGAAAGTGTCTAAGGCCAGGTTGGACAGGGCTTGAAGCAACCTGGTGTAGTGGAAGATGTCCCTGCCCATGGCGGGAGGTGGATCAAGATGACCTTTGAAGTCCCTTCCAACCCAAACCAGCCTGGGATTCTAAAAGTGGGGGAGCTTTGGGGTGGGTGACCTTGCCTGACCCCAGGCGCCCCCCAGGCTGCTCCATCATTCACGCTTCAGTAAGATGAAAAAGCTCTTGGGGGAGATGGGTTTGGGGGGGGGGGGTCCCTCAGGAACTGCTCCAGGTCCCTTTCCATAGGGCGAGTCCTTCAGGTGGAGGCACTTGGGGCACAGAGGCGACCCCTGCCTCACTCTGCTCTTCTCCAGGGCTGCAGGGGAATCTCTGCTCTGGCACCTGCAGCTTCTTCTCACCTGGGGAGCTGCTCAAGGAGGAGGGACAACAGCAGTGAAAGGGACTTGGGACCAAAGGAGGCATCAGCAGAGCAAGAAACATTTCCCAAGCTGTTAGCAGCTTCAGCACCCATTCCACTCTGTCAATGGAACTCAAAACGGGAGATCAGGTGGGTTTGGTTTGAACAAGAAAGTGAATTTAAGAGTAAATTGTGGATTTACTCCTGTGTCAGGGTATTCTCTGGAACATGGATTTGCTGTTTTAAAATGTTATTTTACTTTCTATAATTTGTCTGGGCTGTGTTACGCAAGAGGTCAGTGTTTCACCTTTTATAAATAAAGAGGTGATGATGATGATGCTACTTATTTAGGCTCCCTTGCAGCACATCTGCAATGCAGGTACTTTGCTCTCAAAACTTCAACTTGTGCAGAATTTACCCTTCCCTTGCTCATAATTTTCCTTTGCTGGGCTATTCCCAGTGGCCATCACCTGAAAAGGAGAGGCTTCCTCCACCCTTAGTGTGGGGGGATTTACTCGACCCTTAGTAAGTGCCCCAGGAAAGCTGAGACCCTTGTGCCCTACCTGATGCCTGTCCGATGTCTGTCAGCATCCTATTAGGTGAACCCTGCACTGAGCCACCCTGCTCAAACAAGGCTTGTTCCACTGAGTCAGGGAAACATCAACAGCACAAGGGAGAGCCCTCAGCAGCTCTTCCTCTTTATTGGAGTGTGTTCCCTGCTGCTGGCAACTGCCAGCACCCAGGAAGGATTCACATTGACAGTTAATGGAATAACTCTGGTTATTAATATAAAATTGTGACAGGTTCAGGTTTGAGGGTTGTTGGTGATAGTGCCTGACTGCAAAAATATACTTGAAGGAATATACCTACAAGCTTTAATCCTTAAGAAAACGTTCAGCAAGCAGAGTATGATTCTTACCCAACAGGCATCCCACTGCGGGATAAGACAGGTTCAGCCTCTTGACTGATCCCAGCAGTTATGATTGAGTCTTCCCCGACTTTTACCCCATCCTTGACTTACTCTTATACAATTTCTTTGTGTTTAGTTGGAGCTTGAGTAACACAAGGCGATACATACCTGTGTTTCTGTTGGGTGTAAAATCCTCTCAGCTTTTAAAGATAAAAGAGCACAGAGCTTGTGCCCAGTAAGGAGAGAGTTGTACCTTGAGGGTGGGCACCGTTGGGATGGAGGTGCGTGTTAATATTATTATTATTATGCTTTAATGAATCAAGTTCATCTAGGGAGAGGGATTTCGCCCCAGTTGCTGGCTCTGCAGCAGGACATCTGTCCCTGTCTCACCTGGCTGATGTGTGGAATGTGGTTTATCAGCTGCAAAGCACCATCGAGTTCCCGTCCCTGCAAGGATTTCCACAGAGGCCGGCTGTGGTGTCTCCACTCTGTCCCACCCTCCATCCCATCTCCCTCAGCAGGTGTGTGTGGATGGGGAATCATTTTGGAATAGTTTTAAAGTCCTGCCAGCTGCATTCCATCCAGGGAGCAGCAGCTATGATTTACTCTATAATTTCCATACGGTTTTAACTCCTATTAAAATGCCAATAGAACTCCTCAGTTTCCTCTGATTGTATCTTCAGTTACCTGTCCACAGAGTCTCCAGTCATTTTCCCACATAATGTACCCTGTTGGAGTCAGAGGCACAGAAAATATTCCCTTATTTGTGCTGACAGGCTCTGACACCCAAGAAAAAACTGAGTTTAACTTCAAGCCATGGAGAAAGCTTCTAGAACTAAGTAGAGAAACTGAGAATGTGAGTGTGTATGTTAGATAGAATTGTATTAAATCACTGGATGAAAAAGTTGGAGTTTGGAGTTTTAGTTGTATTAATATATGGGATACAAGATGGAGGATTTGGGGCATTGCCTCTTTTTCTTGTTCTTCTTCATCTTCTTCTTCTAAGGGTTTTTGGGTAATAACGAGTGATTGGATGAAAGAATCTGCATTGCAGCACACAGGCGTCGGGTCATTGAGTAACTAAAGAAAATAAGCTAGCTAGCATTTGATTATTGGGTGAATGGACACATAAAAGGCCATGGAGAGATTCTTCATCTCTCCATTTTGCACCTTGCTACCCTAGTGTATATAGCTCCTTGTTCTCTGTAAATACGTAACATAGGTAAGGAAAGAATAAACAACTGAGCCCGAACACAAGAAAACAGGTTTCTCTCTCGTCAGTCTCGGTCCTGGGGGAAAGAACCAAGCCACCAATGTCGCACTCCGACAGTACCCCATGACTGTAGTCACTCAAACTTCACAATACCTAGTGTTTGAGCATATTTCCCATATGCTTTGGGACTGTGTGGATGGTTTAGTACAGTTGTAGCTCATGGGTTATTTAGTATTATTGGAGGTAGTCAGTAAGTTAATTGTTTCATAATCATCCAGACTTTTAACATACAATGCAATTATTAGAACAAAAAGGTAAGGGGTTACTTTTAATAAAATGCCAACAGGGTGAAGCATTCAACTGAAAATTCCAGCGGCCCCCTCACCACCCCTCAGAGGCGAGGAAGAAAGAGGAATTGTGTGCCTTTTTTCCTTCTTAAATACGTCATCACAGAGGCATTGCTAAATTCTCTAATTGGGCCAGCCAGTATGTCAGTTGTCAGAATCTTTAGGGATTGGTTCTGCTGGATATAGTAGAAGTTTTGAGGAGCTTCTCTCTCGGAAGCAGCCTCCACCCCCACTAAAAGCCAAGTTGTGTTAACCTAACACATCCTTGAACCTTGGACCCTGAGAAAAGTTGAAGAAACCTCTCGAGAAGCCAGATTCAAACTGTGAAGTTTCTTGTAGTTCTAATGGGTCCCACTGAGGGACACTACTGAGAAAACATCCCAGAGCACAAAGCTGGAGGCAGTGGCGGCAGGTCACACAGTCACAGAATCACTGAGTCATTAAGGTTGGAAAAGACATTCAAGATAATCTAGTCCAATGGTCAACCCAACACCACCATAATCACCATATCCCCAAGTGCCACATTCAGGTACCCCTTGAACTCCACCGCCTCCTTGGGCAAACTTTTTCGGTGACTGAACACTCTAACAGTAACATTGTTTTCTAATATCTGATTTGAACCTCCCCTGGCCCAACTTAAAGCCATTTCCTCTTGTCCTGTCACTTGAGACAGGGCAGAAGAGACTGAAGACCACCTGACTAAAACTTCTCTTCAGGCAGTTGTAGAGAGCAGTGAGGTTCCTTTTGAGCTTTCTCTTCTCCAGACTAAAAAACTCCTTAGCTGTTCCTGGCAAGATGTGTTTTCTAGAGCCTTCCCCAGCTCCACTGCCTTCTCTGGACTCGCTCCAGCTCCTCAATGTCTCTCTTGCAGAGCTTCTTGCCAGAACTGGACACAGGACTTGAGGTGGCACCTCAGTAGTCCCAGTGCAGAGGGACAATCACTGCTGGCTGATCCAGGCCAGGTGCCACTGGCCTTCTTGTCCACCTGGCAAAAAAAATCCAGCTGGCTGCCAGCCAGAACCCCCAAATTCCTTCCCACTGAGCAGCTCTCAAGCCACTCCTTCCCCAAGTCTGGAGCATTCCGTGGGGTTGTTGTGACCCAAGGACAGGACTTGGCACTTGGCCTTGTTGACCCTCACACCGTTGTCTTCAGCCCATTCATCCAGCCTGTCCTGATCCCTCTGCAGAGCCTTTCTGCTCTCCAGCGGACCCACACTCCCACACAAGTTGGTGTCATTTGTGAACTTAGCGTGACTTCCGCTTGATCCCCTCATCCAGATCATCAATAAAGATGTTAAACAGGACTGGCCCCAACCCAACACTGACCCCTGGGGTCACCCACAAGTAATGGGCTATTATGGATAGAGTGGAAGCTTCAGACAAGCCCTGTCTTAGGCTAAGATTTTTGGATAGAGCTTGAATTGGGTGGCCTGCACCTAAACCACTCTAGCTCACAAGTTCTAAGAGTGGCAGATCAGGTCTATTGTATAATGAGTTATTTATTGAATAGACAGGAGATAACAGACAAAAGGTCTTGAACAGAGTTACTTACTATACAGTATAAAACAACTATTAGTGAAACAGTGCACGACACTAAGGTACCTATATTAAAGCTAGGAAAGAAATAGTATCAATTAAGAGTCAATGTAACTTACCACCAAACTGGCAAGAGTGTGCAGAGTCCTTTCACTCAACCTTCAAGAGAGTAACCACAAAACCAGCATCCCAACTTTGGGGGAAAAGCCCCACACATTTCCAGGGAATGTGCAGAAGATGTCTGCTTTGTGAAAATTTGGTGTAACTTTAATAGATTGTGAAGTAAAGTGTCAGAAATTCCAGCTTTTCTTTCCACAATCTTGCTTCCACAGCAAGATGTTTATTGTCAGCTAGAAGTGTCACTTCCATGGCATCCGAATAACCATGAGACAAGCGGTCTTAAGCAATTTATTTCACCAATTAGGAAGCTCTTGTGGTGGGTGTAAGAGCCAACAGAGAGATGGGGACTTCAGATGGCTTTTCTTTCTAATGCTGTTTATTCTATAGCTTAGATTACAGCAGGGGGTCGTGGGTCAGCCTACGGCTGCTGGCTACAGGCAAGCCCTGTGTCCTGAAGCCCACTTAGTTCTGCTTACAGTGCATTATATCTCTTTCTTTTGCTGTGCATATTATTACATAACAACCAAGCAGCATCATACACAATACCTTTACATGTACATATATCCTATCAAAACTGCTAAAATTACCATACTATGTTAGGGCCTAACTAATCATCTGAGTTAGTAATTACATATTCAACTTTGAAACTTGTTTTGCAGTGGAAAATTCTTTTTGCTTTGGTGGAAAATATCTTTCTGTCTGTCTGTGCTTCTTTACTTGGTAGAAAACATGCTTTGTTTGAAGACCACTTAACCTGTTGGACTTTAGCCATAAAACTTCCTTCTAACTGATGGAACCTTTGCTCTAAGCCTTCCAACTTGACTAAACCTTTGTTCTTTCAGCTGTTTCAGCAACAGCTATCCCTAAAAACATCTTTTTATATATCAAAGCTTGCTTTCATTTCTAAAGAACCTTCTGCTAAGCATTCATATCCATAAAATTTGTCTGTTAAACTCTCATCCTTCCTAACAGTGGGGAACGCACCGGCCCCAACTCAATTTAGTTCCATTCCCCACCACTTTCTGGGCATCAGCCAGTTTTTCACCCAGCAAGCTGTTCCCCTGTCCAATCCATGAGCAGCCAGCTTCTCCAGTGTCATAAGCTTTACTGATGTCTGTAAACACACATCCACAGCCTTTCCCTCATCTACTGAATGGGTCATTCTGTTACAGAAGGACCTGCCTTCCCCAACCATGCACTGTCTTGGCCCGATCTCCTGGTTGTCCTGCACATGCTGTAGGATAGCACTCAGGATGATCTGCTCCATGGCCTTCCCCAGTACAGAGGTCAGGCTGACAGGCCTGGAGTTCCCTGAATGTAATGTCCCAGTCGTGGGTGGGGAGACAAAAATCCACAACTCATGCTCCAGGTGCTCATGAGACAAACAGCCTTGTTTATTATTCAGAACTAACTTAAATACCCAGTTCAAATCTCCTGGGCTATACAGCCATTGGCTGAGATCTTTCTCCCTGCCCAGCTTCCTGGCCAGTGGTGTGTTTACTTCTCACCTTGAATGGGGCTGGCTGAGGGTCCCCTGTAACTTATCCAGGGACATGTTCAGGCATGAACTAGGCTAGCTGAATAGGATTTGTGTTATGGTCAGATTCACTTTGTCTGGTGCAGGCCACCTGTACTGTGACAATACCGTGACACCTGAATCCTCCTTCCAATCCTTCTGACAGATGGGCATCACATTGGCTGATTTCCTGTCAACAGGAACTCCTTCAGTTTACCAGAGCTTCTGAGAAACAAGAGAAATCGGCTTGGCCAGCTTTCTTCAGCTCCCTCATGTGCATCTCATTTGTGCCCAGGGACTTGTGCATGCATATGTGTCTGTGTGTGTGTGTGCGTGTATGTGTGATTGGCAGAGCAGATCACTGTTTCCTCCTGCATTTCAGGGCTTCACTCAGCTCCTTTTCATCAACTTCCAGCCCTGGGAGCTGAGCACCCTCAGACAACTGGGTTTGGTGTTAAAGACTGAGCCTTTTCCTTCTCCCTGACGTGGCACTGCCCTCTGCACCCAGCAAAGGATGGAGACTTTGCTGAGCCCTCCTTTTGCTGCCAAGGGATTTATAGAAACTTTTCTTGTTAACTTTAATTGCACTGGCCAAATTAAATTCCAGTTTGGCTTTGGCCCTTCTAATTTTCTTGCTATATCACCTCACAATATCCTTGTAATACCCTAAGTTTTCTTAGGAAGCTCAGGACTGATGTATCTGGAGCCATCCATCCTCATTGGCTATGGGACTCTTCTTCCAGAGGTGACACATGCTCTTTTTTTGCCCTGAGCTCCTGCCTAAGTTCTCTCTTTAACCAGGCTAGTCATTTCC